CTGTGCCACCACCATAGTCTCGTGCATTTCCCTCCCTTACCCCCCCCTTTTTGATCCCATTCCCCACTCCACCCCCACAGAATGTCTCTGGTATATGGTTGTTCATTATTTTTGTTATTTTCTCGCCTGGTCCATTATACTCCAGCTATGAGTGAAACCATCCGGTATTTTTCCTTGTTGTCATTTTAAACACACACACTGGCTCGCTGCTAGGAGAGACCAAGAAAATAACATTTACCTGTTTTGCTTCCTCTTTGAGTTGAGCTGTGTAACTCGGTTTGTAACGTGAGCCCCACGGTTCGTTTGCTTTAATTCTATATTTAAACATAGATTTATGCTCCCCATCATGCCTTCTACCGTCGCCTAACCTCTGTTCTTGGCATCAAGAAAAATAGAAAAATAGGAATGTTGTCGTCGTCCCGTCCGTGTCCTCCCCCCCCCCCCCCCCCCCCCCCCCCCCCCCCCCCCGTTAGCGCTGTGGATAATTCTCATTTGAGAATGCTACTGTGCTTGGCCTCAACTTGGCTGTTCTCTGGCTCCATCTTCCTCCTCTAACTTGCCTCCCTGCGCTGTCTTTTGGTGGCAAAGTCCGGGGCCAGCCAGGTTCTTCTTGTAGATGACTTGCTTTCTTTGACCATAGATGTGGACTTGGGGTTCGACTTAGCAATGGATAACTTCACCAAGCTATGCACCTCATTTAGATGATTATTTTTTAAAAAGATGTACTATTTATGCATACAAGGAGTGGGATACAGGCCAGGAATGCGGGAGTGGGGGTGGTGAGAGGACTCCCCAGAGACAGAGTGGGGAGCACGACAGGCGGATCCACTGAAACCCACTGCTGAGGGGAGCAGCGGGGAGACAGGAGAGGTCTGCTGCGCCCTGGGGGTCACTTCCCGGCTGGGGATTGAACTCATGTTGCAGGGGCTGCAGATAGCTTGATAGTGGGGAGTTTTAACCCCTGGCCACCAGGGAGGGCTCCATGGTTACTTTTTATCAGCTTTCTTTAGACCCCTTTCAAATGTAGATTCAACCCTTCATCCGTTTCAGGGGAACTTCCCCCCTTATATCTGAGTATCTTTTCTGTTCTAGTTATTGGGTTATACACTTTGGGGATACAGTTTTTCCTTCCACACATCACCTTGCTCTTTGGATTGTCTTTTTCTGATTATACTGGTTGCTTTTCAAGTGACGATTATCTTAACACGTTCCTCTAGTAAAGAGGTTAAGAGCACACACTCTGGCCCTCCGATGCCTGGGAGCCGGCTTGGTTCTTCCGAGTAACAGGAGGATGGGGCTGAGCTTCATCTCACCGATCTGTGAAAGGTGATTAACAGCAGTTCCCTGCCTTACGAGGTTGTGAGGTTGCGGAGGGGATTTGATGAGATGAAGCTGAAGGTCTTCGGCCCATGCCTTGGAAGCTCTTGTGATTATAACAGTGGTCCAGCTGGCCCTGCCTCTAGCTGAACCCCACCCCTGAGCTCGGGATGGGGGACGGGTGGGGCACAGGCTGGGTGTGGCAATCTTGCTTTTGAGACTCTGAGCTTTGTTTGTGAGACTCTGCTAGGGTTTCTGTTTGATTTTGCAAAGGGGTTCTTAGTCCTTGGGGATCCCTAGATTGGGGTGCTCCCCACCACCGTGCATTTGGCTTGGAGCCCTGAAATGTGGAACCCAGGTCCTCCTCCTGTTCTCGGATGCCTTTCTGCTGAACTCCCCTGTCACGGAGTGCCTGGAGCACCATCCCCAGGTGACGTACATCCTTCCCCGGACATCCTTCCCGGCTGTGTCTCCCTCCGTGCCCTCTGGTGACAGGGCGGGGCTGGCAGGCCTCAGCCAGAGGGATCTGGTGCCCAGCCTGCCCAGCGGGCCAGTCCTGATCCTCTCAGCAGAGCTTTCTTTTCTGTTGTTGAAAACTTTCCCAGCTTTCAGTTTTTTCCTTTTGTCAGACAAGCGTGATTCTCCGACTGAGTTGTATTCAGCTGTTTGTATCTGGGAATCTTGTGGTGAATTTTCAAATAAAAAAAGAAAAACAACACAAAACAAAGCATTGCTGGGGCCGGCCCAGGGCCTTCTCGTCTGGCGGGCCTGGACACGCTGGCTGGCCCCTTTGAGAACCAGGGCCGCTCCCAAGCTAGACAGCCCCTTACCTTTAAGCAGCGTCTGCAGAGCAAGTTAAGAGCATAAAACAACAGTTTCTCAGGAAGACCCTATATGTTTCAAGATGTGTTTTGTGGTTTATTTGTTTACTTCTTCTTTAACTATCTTATACAGAGAGGGCCAGAAAGCCCATCTCCAGAGTGAAATGAAAGTGGATTTTTTTTTTTTTAGTGATTACCAAGAGAAATAGTCTTAGACTTGAAATTCTCCTCCACATCCCTTAAGCTTTTAGTTCTCTGCTGGCATTTGTGGAGTGAATTATTCATGGGTGCTTTTACGGAGTACTTTGAATGCAGTACAGGCCAGCATGGAAGGTCTTGGGGGGCTTCCCCTGCCCCCAACCAGCCTCTCATCCTGTCCAGGACTTGGGCAACAGAAGGAACCTTCGAGAGTGCTGATTTTACCTGCAACTGTCCAAGCTGCTTCCCCCCACTCTGTGCATAGGGAACTTATTTTTATGGTTGCTAAGGACTAGAAACAAACAAACAAAAAAAAACAAAACGTGGGTTTGCGTAAACCTTTTTTTTTTAAATTTTTTTTTTAGATTTATTTATTTACTCAAACAGAACTGGGGTACAGGCCAGAGATGCGGACGGTGAGAGGATTCACCAGGGACAGAGTGGGGAGCAGAACAGGCAGATCTATGAAGCCCCTCTCAGCAGTGGACGGGTCAGGAGAGGTGTGCCACGCCCTGTGGTCACCTCCGGGGCAGGCGGGGATCGAACTCATGCGGAAGTGGCTTAAGCTTCTTAGTGCTGTGCTTTAACCCGCTGCGCCACCAGGGAGGGCCTGCATAAACCTTTAACAGCAGTTTTGAAAGAATTTCATATAAGGTCTGAATTCAAAGTGACCTTTTCAATTCAGAAGTTAGTATGAACAGAAGAAATGGTTAATTTCTTCTAAAAAGTATGCACTAAAAATACCTCGCGTGTAAACCGCTTGACTTCTCAGTCCTCGCTCTCAAAAGGGCGCTGTGCTGACCGTCGGGTCGGAGTCTGCTGCTCGCCCAGCCCTCGGCTTACCTCGAGCCCAGTGGGCCCGGCCTGGCCGGCTGCTTCCTACCCGGCCCAGCTCCATTGAGCCGCTGTGCTGACAACTTAGACCCTCCTGCACCCTCAGCACACACAATTTCTACTCGTGCTGCTCTTTTCTAAGGCACGGCCTTTGAGGAGACACTGCCTTGGCATTCTCTGGGGTCCGGCTGCATTGGGTACCCTGGGCTATCTAGGCAGTGTCTTGGCTGCGCAGATGTGACAGCTTCAAGAGCAGCTCGGGCCAGGGCAGCTTTCAAGTGAGCGCGTCCTGCTTCCACCCCTTCGTCCGACTCGAAAGACTTTTTAGACGCATCACTGTTACGTGAATGACGATTGTGAACTAATGCAGTTCACTCACGGCGACGATCGCTGTTGGGCTGGGCGGGATGTATCCCCTGGAGGGGCCACGGGGGCTCTCGCCCGACCGGCTCGGACTTACAGCTGAGGAGTCGGAAACACAGATGTGCTCACCGATCTGCCCCGACGTGTCACCCAGGTTCGACCCAGGTCTGGCCCCCGAGAGTGCCCTTTCCACCAGAGTCCACGCTGAGGGCACTCTACCGGTCCCATTTCACTTCATGTGTGCAGTGGTCCGCGGACTGGGAATGTGCTCGCGCACAGTTTTCCCTAGGCAAATCTGTAGAGTCTGGGGAAATGGGAGATACCAAATGCGAAATAATGAAAGTAGCTTTTATGAAAGAGGAATAGCAGCGGCGAATAAATGGGAAGTGGAGAAGGCAGTGCTGTCATGAAGAGCCCCCGCAGCCTGGCCCGCTGCCTGAACCCCAGAAGCCAAAGCCAGGCCCTGAGAAGCCAGCGGGGTGCCCCTGCCGCGCTGCCCGCTGACCTCCTCTTCTATCGGGTGCAGACGGCGCATGCTAAAGGCAGCCAGAGCACTTGGGTTCCTGACCTGGCGCGGGGTGGGGGCAGAGGCCAGCTGCTCAGTGCAGACCTGTTCGAGGTCAGAAGCCCCTCCGTGTCGCGCTCTTCACTGCCTCCGAACCCCCCCTTCAAGTCTGGTCTCCACTTCCTTAGGGAGACTTCGGCACCGGGAGCTCGTTTGGCTATTTGGGGTGGCAGCCATGTGGCCTTGAAGACCTGCCCCTGACACTTAGAATTTTATTTTTGTGCGGAAGAACTGGGGTACAGGGGGTGAGAATCACCAGAGACAGCAGGGAGCAGAACAGGCAGATCTACTGAGACCCACTGCTGAGGGGAGCAGCGGGGAGACAAGGAGAGGTCTGCTGCGCCCTGGGGGTCACTCCCTGGCCGGGGATCAAACTCAGGCTGCATCGGTGACAGTGCTGAAACTTAAACCTTGGGCCACCAGGGAGGCCTTGTGGATTTGTAATTTAAAATTTTGGACACCTTACTTATGCTTCCCTTGGCCTTAGAAGTTAAAGCAGAAACACCAGCTGAAGTAGGTCTGAGGGGGTGGTGCCCAGGGAGAGCAGACCTCACCCCAGCGCCACAGAGGAGCAGCCTGCTGTGTGCACAGGTCTGGACACTCAGGTCAGAGCGTCAGGTGCGGGTGCTCAGGTGAGTGTCCAGCTAGTGCCCACTTCTGTTCTGGGTTGCTGTCCCTTAACCCTTTGAGATTAAAGAAGCCATGCCACACAGCCCTTAATGCACCCAGTTTCATCACACACGTTGGAGGATGGAAGGAAACGACTGGATTCCAGCCGTGGGCATTTGTGGTTTTTTTTTTTAAACTTGCAAACAGAAACACCCACGTGATTGTTCGTTCCTGATCTCTCAGTCTTTCTTTGGCTGTGTAAGGTGATGTCTGTGTTTTCATTTTAGGAATCTTTCGAAGAAATACCAACCTAAAAAGAACTCAAAGGAGGAAGAAGAATACAGGTGTGTATTTGCCGTTGATAGTTACACGACCATGGTTAGGTGATTGCTGAGGCTTATGAAGGGGAAGGAGAAATACATGTCAGTAGAAATAAATCACACTGTCCATTTCTGTGTCCTTTTAAAATCGGCAGAGAGGATAATAAAAACCAACTCAATTAACTTTTCTTACACTGAGTCACTACTCCGGCTGCCGATTATTTTAGAGACAGTGATAGGGGAAAGTGTACAGAATAGTCTAGGTGAGTACAGCCAGTGTGGCCTGTGTACTTGGCAGCCTCCGTTTGGCTTTGTGGTAGCTGGAGTCTCTCTCAAACTGCTCACACTTCCAAAAAACAGCTGTCCGTTACAGTCGCAACGAAGGCATCTTCACCTGGACAGCCGAAAAAATCTAATTTAGAGCCGCGTGTCCACACTTCAGCACATGAAGCGTGCAGGTGTATTTTGGGTTCTATTTGGACTAAGCCCAATATCACCTTCCAACGTGGGGTTTGGGCTTCCCGAGATCAAAAGTGTCTCCGTTGTAATTAATGCTGAGCCCTGTTGCTGAGCAGCGCTCTGGCGTGTAGTGAATTGTCAGGTCCTATGGGAGGTCGATGCCAATCAGCCTGATCTTAATTAGCGAATATTCCGCGGCTCCAGACCGCAGGGGTGGTGTCTGAAGGGGAAGTGCACTCCGCCCGCAGGTACACGGCATGCAAGGCCTTCGTTTCCACCCTGAACGAGATGAGCGACTACGCCGGGCAGCACGAGGTCATCTCGGAGAACATGACCTCACAGATCACGGTGGAGCTGGCCCGCTACGTGCAGGAGCTCAAGCAGGAGAGGAAGTCGGTAAGAGCATTTGTGTTTTCTTCCTCAGTCAGGACCAAAGCTGATGGGTCGTCCCCAGAAGCTTGACGTTCACAGACGCGCATCCGATGGTGGGTCTTCAGCTGAGACCTGCGAGAAGCGCATAAAAGTTGCGTGCCCTGCTCGGCGCGTCCAAGTCTTTAACATTCTACGGTGCGTTAGTAACAGTGACACACACAATGGGGTCTAAACGTTGACGGCATGATTTGGGGTTAAACAAATTAACCCCAGATTATGGGAGCGTTCAATAGAAAGTTATTATGGCAGACATGTAATACACAGCTTCAAGGGTGCCTTTGCGTACTTAGCTATTTTCGAGGACGGCAGACATCAGGAGAGTAAGAGGCCCAGTGTGCGCAAGGGCTGCGTAGTGCGAGCAGTGTCCCCCAGGTGCTCAGAAGGAATTCTGCATATTCCGCCCGCCTGCTCCGTTCCCCAGCCGCTCATCCTGTCTGGTGATCAGGACCTTTCTCTTCCTCCGCGTCTCTTCGTAGCTCTCATTGTTAACAAAAGGGAAAAGTGTACACCTCAGTGTAGTTTACCCTTGAAAGTGTGGTTCATTCTTGAGGTGCTGTCCAAAGAGATTTGCCTGCCACCTGGTCTGTACGGTGCAGCGAGTGCTTGGGAGGAGTGTGATATCTGTCGTCAGCAAAGGCTGCCACGCATAAGCTTAGTCCTTAATGACTTGGTGGTCACTAGAGACGTGGCCCTGCGGAAATGGAGGAGACGTTAGAAAACCGTGACCACGGGTCGGGAGGGGGTGTTCAGTGGTGACCACGAAGCAGTGTAGACAGATGTCGAAATATAATGCCGGACACCTGAAACATGCAGGCTGTTACCAACCAGCGTCACCTCGATGAGATTTTAGAATGCTACGGAGAGTAAGTAATGACCTAGATAGTCACCGAATTGCAATGCTATTCGATGTTCCTACATATGTTTTCGTAAGGTGCAAAGACAGGTGTCAGCAGTACGTCATGGGGATTCCCAAACGCTGGTGCTTGCCGTGGGACTGAATTTCCACAGGGGCCTCGCAGCTGGGGCTTCCCCAGACCGGAGGGGCTGCCTGGAACATTCTTGGAGGGTGCAGGCGCTGCAAAGATTCTGAGGCAGGAAGGTATTTGAGCATCTATTTTAGTTCTTTAAAAAAAAAATTATTTATGCATACAAGAACTGGGGTACAGGCCAGAGGTGTTGGGGGTTGGTGAGAGGACTCACTAGAAACAGAGAGGGGAGGAGAACAGGCGGATCTTCTGAAACACACTGCTGAGGGGAGCAGCGGGGAGACAGGAGAGGTCTGCTGCGCCCTCGGGTCAGCTCCTGGCCAGGGATCGAATTCAGGCTGCAGTGGCTGGTGATAGCTTCATAGTGGAGACTTAACCCCTTGAGCCACCTAAGGAGACCCTATTTTAGTTCTTTCTCAACTATAACTATGGAGCACGAGGCTTTGGGTCTGCTTAGGAAGAGATACATGTTGAAGATCGACCCAGCGGTTATAAACAAAACATCTGACAAGCTGAGATGAAGCATCTCCGACGGCTCACACTGAACGAAGCGATGGTCTCCGTGGCTCACAGCTTAGCTCCCCGGCCCAGTAACGTTTGCCAGTGTCTTGGAGGTATCCTTGTTGGAACGGGGGGCAAGTGAAGGTGGAGGTGGGTGGTGGGTGGTTGCTACTGGCATCTAGTGGGGTGCACGGAGCCAAGATGCCCGAGTGCAGAGCTGAGCGGCCTCACTCCAGAGCCCAGGCTAAACGGCAGTCCTCGCCCGGCCCTGAAGAGCTCCGTTTACATGAGGTAAAGGAAGCAGAAAGCTGAGGTTCAGAATGAAGCCCGCACCCCAAATGTGATCCTAGGGCAAACACAGTAAACCTGAGCTTGGTGTTGGACGAAGGGTTTTGTTCATTTTGTTGCCCTATTTTGAATACTGTCTTTTCATTTTAATAAAGTTACAGTACTTATTTATAACTCCACTAAAAACACTAAATAACCCCGAACTTGATGTTTCTTCCCTGCTTCCTGAACTTCCGCAGGCCTTGCACAGTTTATCCTTCTTCCTGTTTGTTACATGGTCAGCGTGTCTCTGGACTGACCTTCCTAGCATTTTGGCCAACACCCTAAACAAGACTGTGCATTTGCCTTACTCGGAAATCTCAGCTCTATTTCTGGAGTGACCAGCAGCTGTGAGCCCAATGGCCTGACTGCTTTGCCGCCCTCAGCCCTGCGGCGCCTGCCCCAGGCCTCTGCACCATTCTCCTTTCTGCTTTATTCCCTAGATGTATTTATTTGTAGAAGAACGGGGGTGCACGCCAGAGGGGGTGAGAGGATTCACCAGGGTTAGGGTGGGGAGCAGAACAGATGGATCCACTGCTGAGGGGAGCAGCGGGGAGACGGGAGAGGCCTGCTGCACCCTGTGGGTCACTCCCTGGCCGGGGATCGAGGTTGGGCGGTCAGGGTGATATTGCTGATATGTAACCCCTAGGCCACCAGGGAGGCCCCTGCGTGACATTTTTCCCTGGAAAGCTCCCCCAGATACCTGCAGACTCACTTCCTGACTTCTTTCTCAGGAACCTCACCTTTGCCTAGAGCACCCTCTTGTTCGCCTCATTTAAAGTGCCATACCCCCTGTCCTCCCCATCCTCAGCCGCCCCCTGCCCCCGGCCTTACCTGCTGCCTGGCTCCCCACCCTAACACTTCATGCTCGCCCAGGTCTGTTTCTCTTTCACCCCATCATAGAAGGTCAGCCCCACAAGGACAGGAATTTTCTCATCCACTGTTGTAGCCCGAACTTCTGGAACCGTGTGCATGGCCTAGTTCTCAGCTCGGCTGAGTTCTCAGACTTGGTTTCACCAGTTGAGGACCCTTGTATTTCCTTGCAGGGTTACGATTGGGTCCTTTTATTTTATTTACTTGCTTAATCATGGTGCTTTTTAATAGTCTTTTGGATCTGTCTTTTGAATTCTGTCCCATTTTTTTTTATCAGAAATTATAGTCATCCAGAGAGTAAATTATAGGTAGTGCAGACATTCATTAAGTAACATCTTCCAATACCTATCCTGCCTTTATGTTAAGGAAAATTACAAGACACCTCTGGGTCAAATGTTCTGTTGGAAGAAGCTGCAAACACCAGGCTGTCTCGAAGCATCTGTAATGACGTTGAAATGCCAGCAAACTCGGGAGCCCTGTCAGCTTCTAGAGTGAATATCAGTGAGCAAATGTGTCTGTTTTCATGAATGCGTCAGGGACATTTCTGACGTCTTACGTAGTGGTCACACTCTGGGGGGCGCTGCTGTGTGTGCCATGCCGATGTCCCCACCTGTGCTTTGAAAGGACGTGTCACTCAAAAACACGGATTCAAAAAGATACTTGCACCCCCATGTTTATTCCTGCTTTATATACATTTGGAAAAACATGGAAGCAGCGCAAATGCCCAAAAGTAGATGACTGGATTAAAAGATGTGGAACATATACACAATGGAATATTACTCAGCAACCAAAAAGGACAAACACATGCCTTCTGCAGCAACATGGATGGAGCTGGAAGGGATCATGCTTAGTGAGATAAGCCAGAAAGAGAAAGAAAAATACCGGATGGTTTCGTATAATAGACCAGGCAAGAAAATAATAAGAATAATGAACTTCTATACACCAGACATTTTGTGTGGGTGGAGTGGGGAATGGGATCAAAAACCGGGGGAGGGGGAAGAGGAATGCACTTGACTGTGGCACACGGGTGACTTGGTGATGGGAAACACCTGGGGATTACAATTGAGATTTAAAAAATGTACAAAATGATGTAAAAATAAACTATTATATTAAAAAAAAGGACGTGTCACTAAAGTGACATTGGCGCCTAACGGCATATTGACTCTGGCTGTGTGACCTTCTAGCCCACCCCTTTATGTGCTATATTTTAAAAAAAGATTTACTTATTTATGCATACAGAACTGGGGTACAGCCAGAGGTGGGGGGCTGAGAGGATTCACCAGAGACTGAGTGGGGAGCAGAGCAGGCCGACTGAAATCCACTGCTGAAGGGGTGTAGCGGGGAGACAGGAGGGGTCTTTTTGCTGTGCTGTGAGCCCAGCGAGCCCAGACCTTCCCCAGAAGAGGGGTGCGCCCCCTTGGGCGTGAGTCCACAACACAGCTCCCGCTGGGGTCTGTGGGGTGTGGCAGGGGGCGCAGGACCCAGCTTCCAGTCCAGGAGGCGGACCCCACAGCCCCCCACACTGTGAGCCCCCATGTGGGTGATGAGGACCGGGGGCACCGGCGTGACTGCACACGCAGCGCTGTGCTGCTGAGCCTGTTTCAGGGACGCAGGGGGCTTGCAGAGGGCCAGTGTGAGCCCGAGCGGGGCTCTGCGTGTGGGGTGTGGGCACGTGTGCCCGCACTCTGGCCACGGGCGCCCTGCTGCCCAGCCCGCCCCAGAGCTTTCTGATGGAGGTTTTCTCTAGAACACAGGAGCGGACACACGTGAGCACATGGCAGAGTTCACGTATGTGCGGTGAGTTTCACGTGACCACTCTAAGGGCGTCCAGCCGGTGGGCGGCGTTAAAAACGGGCTGCCTTAAGTGTCAGGGTCTACTAGCGCTTCTCATGGTGGTCGAGAAACAAGCGCCTCGTCAGGACCAGACCTTTGGGGTCACGCGGTACAGAGGCCCAGAGGGGTGATGGCTGGGTCGCGTTCCTGCTTTCAGAGCAGAATAACAGAAGTTTATTTTTCATCGAGATTTTCCTGTCTCTGAAGAGCTGAGTGTCGCAAGAGTCTGTGTGGTGGGAATGACTCCGCAGAAGGGGGGGCCTCCCTTCCCCTCTGGGGTGCACTGGAGAGGAAGTGGAGGGTGAGGAGGCGGCTGCTGCTCTCCCCTCTGGGCCGCAGCGGTGGTGATAACAGAGTCGTCCGCGCCGGCCTCCAGCGTCCTCCAGCCTGAGCCAGGGCAGCGCTGCGGCTCGGCTTCAGCAGAGTCGCTGGCGTTCAGGCCTC